CTTTGGAAAACACTGATGACTGTTCTAGTCACAGGTAGTTTTATAGACACTGTATTTGCACAGGGCTCTGACTTGCTTTACCTACAGTACTCCAGGCCTGAACTCTCGCAACTGCCTCGCTACAATATCAGCACAGAGAACAACCATTGAAAATAGCTTATTGAAATCTCTCCTCACATTAATTTTCAGAAACAAGAGCAACACTAACATTCTGACATCACTTTTGTCACATAGAAATAATGACTTTAAAACCACCTCTGTTATGTCTTTTTTTATTATGCAAGGTTTAGATCTTTTTCATTCCGCAAAGTTTATGTCTCAGTGATAACATTGCATATATTGACTATTTCAAAGAAGAAAGGAAAAAAGGTGAATAGAGATATAGGTACAGTACCTTTTAAGAGTTTTGAAAAAAAATGCCAGGATGAACTTTTCTCCTTCCAAAAATACATATAGCAAAAATCAATTAATTAACTTTGTCTTAAACTACAAGTATGTAAAGTCTTTCTTTGGAGAAAGACCATGTCAGTGAATGAAGCAAGGAATTTAGTCCATGGAAATTTGTGGGGTTTTTTGTATGGTTAGTTGGGTTTATTAAACCCAAGAACTGATCAATCTCAACCTCTAAACTGGTTTAATTTCCCTGCAAGCACTGTAAAGTTAGTTACAGTAAATAAACCTCTCTTTAACATATACCCTGACTTTCAGAGAGAGAGGTGGGGGGAGAGGGAGAGGGAAGGAATGAGAGAGGGAGAGGGAGGTGTAGAGGGAGAGGTCTGACTTGCTTTTAGTATCTTTTCCTGTTCCTCGTGTAAGGAACCTCTCCCTTTCTATTTGGCTGAACGCTGCATTGCAAAAGGCAGTATCTGAAGAAATACAATCAGTACCTTCCACACACAGTGCAGGAATTTACACGGATTTGTGCCTTGGATTTATTAGCTTATTGTAAGCCCCAAAACAGATTTCCTCCATTAAAATTAATTAAAAGCTCCTGTTGACTGCTTCCCACTCTGAAAAGAAGGTGGAGAATCTTATTCTCTTAACTTTAATGATTGTTTATTTATCTTTTATGGGGTTTTATATCATATTCGAGAGGTCTTTTCAGCTGCTTGACTTCCTTTTGCCATCTGCTATTTTTTGTCCACACCATCCCCACGCACCCAGCCCCCCGTAGTATTTATTCTTATTTTGTCAGATCCCCGTCTAACTCGTCAGGTCTCTGAGCGGCTCCTTTGTATTCCGAATCTCGGTCCGATTTTCTTAACCTCTCCCCCACCCACTCACCGCCAGCCCTGCTCCGGAGGCTGCTGATGGGGATCTGATGGATCCTCCTGCCGGGCGCAGCTCTCGACTCTCCCCGTAGATTCCTCAACACTCGGCAGCGCCGACCTAAGCCGAGTACCTCTCCCAAGCAAGGCTCACCTCTAAAGGTCCCGTTTGCCCGAACCACCTCCAGACAGAGCCGCTGGTGGTGCTCACAGGGGCGCTCTGCCGGTGCCCCTGCCGCAGGGGTAGTGCTCGGCTCTCCCCTCCCCACGGGGGGAGGGGGGCAGGCTCGGCACCCTCCCTGCTCGGGGGCGAAACGCGACCGCGGACCCGGGACCTCGCTGCAGCTGCCCGCTCCGAGTCCCGCTCCTGAGCCACATGCTGGCGCAGATCAGCCCGGGGACCCTGCTAACACTTGCCGCCGGCCATTCATAAATCCTTCTCGTGTGTGCCCGGCGCCGCGGACATGGGGCTCTAACGTGGCGAAGGCGGTGTTTCTGACACAGCCTGATCCCGGCTCCGCAACTTTGCCATCTGGGAGCAGGCAAAGGGCACCCGCGCCTTTAGATCGCCCGGGGGCTAGAATTACCAGAAAGGAAAAGAGTAAGAAATGAAATCCCAACTGTACCTGGCGGTGTCTGGGAATCCCTCGCCGGCACCGATCGTAATCCCCCTCCGCGCCTCTGGCCCCCCACACCAAAACTTTGCCGCCGCCGCTCCTCGGTGGTGGCCGCCGCCGCCCTCCGCCCGGCGCCGCTCCCGGCCGGCCCCGCGGGCCCGTTCCCCGCCGGCCGCCGCCGCTCCGAGCGACCCCCGCGCCTCCCGCGCCTTCCTCCGCCCTTACGAGGCGGCGGCATCGTCCTACCCCCTGCTCCGCCACCTCCTCCTCCGGCGCGCAGCCCACGGCTCTGGCATTCCCAACGCACTTTCTCTCCTCGATTCGCTCTCTCTTTCCCCCGCCGTTCCTCCTTCTCCGGTAAAAAAAATAAACGAGAGGGGACCGCGGCTACGCTTGGTCTTGGGGTTTCTTTCTTTCTGGATTTTTTTGGTTGTTTGCCTTTTTTTTTTTTTTGGTCTCTTTCTATCCTCTGGAAATGATGAAAAGATCACATGAGGAGCAGGCACGGCGACCCAGGACCCTCGTAAGTCGGAGAAGACATCGGACACATGTATGTAAGTATGTCTGTGAGCGTGTGTCTGGCTCTCTCCAAGTCCTGCGCCTGCCTCCAGCCGGGATTGCAGGATGATCTTAGCAGTAGTGATGCCTCACATCTCACTATTCCCTGCTAATGTAAGTCGTGCCTTTTTTTCCTCCCTGCCTGACACCCCAGGGAGATGTTTACAGTAATGAATTCAGTTGATAGCCATCTCTCTCTCTCTCCTGGAGTCCCTCCCACATTTCTACTTTAAAGAATGCTTGGAAGGCAGGGCTGCAACCTAAAGCTTTCCAAGAGGCAAAGTCAGGCTAGATTTTCTCTTTTTCTTCTTTCCTTATTTCCCTCCCCGTCCCCCCCGTTCCCCCCGGCTGCTTTTAACCCCTAGGTTGCTGAGGACAATTTAGCGAGCTTCATCTGTTTGGACTCCCCCTCTGCTCCGCTTTCAGCAACGGGAAGCAAGCGGGCGGCGCTGCCGGGGGATGTGCGGGCTGCGGAGACCCCGATCCGCGCCCTGCCTCCCCGCCGAGCCCGCCGGGCCGGCGCTGCGGGAGAGGAAGGTGCGCGTACCGCCGTCCTTCGCGGCGGGACTGCCCCGCACCGCCGCTCCGGGGACTCTCGGAGTGTATCGGAGCGTATCGGAGGGGAAGCCGGGAAGTGAGCTGAAAAACTCCCCGAGCGGCGGTTCTGGGAGATGCCCTCGCTAGCAATAATTACAGCCGCGCTCTCCACCAACATGGCGATATTTCATGTGCAGCCGCCGACAAGCCCGCCTCCCCCACCCCCTCCTTTTCCTCTCCTTCCTCCCTCGCGAACTTTTAGATACACAGCACCAGTATTCAACAAATATAACACAGAATAAAAGAATCTCCAGCCCTCAGGGAAGAGACGGACCTCCTCTAGTATTCTGTCTGATTTTCATCATCAGCCATAAACACTTAAAAACCTCTGGAGAAACCGCCTTTTGCCCTAAAGCGGTAACAACACCCACTCCACCCCACCCCTCTATTTCTCCTGTACACATTCAATACGTGTACATATGAGTGTGTGTGTGTGTGTGTGTATGCCGGGCTGTCTGCGCTTGTTTTGGAGTAACCCTTCCCCCGCCGTCCAGCTCCCTAGTAGGCTATTGCCTTGTCCTGGAAAGTCCACTTAAAGACAAGGCTATTTGACACCGAGAAGCCCTTGAGCGATAGGATACAGCCGTCAAGGTAGGACGTGGGGTGTACGAATAGAATTTGCCTCAAACTCCTACATTAAAAGAAAGGGCACAAGACAGCTTTTGCTGCGAGTTACTTTAAGAAACCGGTTGAGGAGGGATAGAGGAGAGCGAGCTGATCAATGCCATGTGTCGAGGAAACAGAAAAGGGAACCGAAATGCCTCGGGGTTGGCTTCCCCCTCACCCCTGGCTGCTCAGTGGCTTCTATTTGCTCGGCCGTACCTCATAAGCTGGATCACTCGCTATTAGCTGCGCGCCTCCTTCGCCCTTCGCTTGGGGGGGCTAAACCACTCACGACTTCAAAGGCTCGATAAAGCCGTACCGAGGAGCCCCGGCGAGGGTCAGCCCGGCCGCCGTGTGCTCGGCGCAGCTCCTGCCCCCGCGCTCGCCCTGCCCTCCACCTCCTGCCCTCCAAGGGGAATTCGGGGAGTCCCCGCGTACGGACAGCCCGGAGCGGAGCCTGCTCGCTCGGAGGAGGAGGACTTGTGCCCTCACCTACGCGGAGTGATGGGGGTGGGGAGCGAGCACGGACGGGGCAGCGCAGGTAGCCTCATTTCTCGGGGGTCTCAGCAAGAGGAAGGGAGTTAAGGACGAGACCCCGCTTCCCTCCCTGCTTTACACCCCAGGATGGAGGGGAAGCAGCCCGGGGCCCTCCGCGGGTGCAGCCGGCCGGGGAGAAGAGGGTGTGACACCGGTCAGTCCCGCGGTCAGAGCCTGCATCCGCGCCTCGGAGCAGGGGCTGCTCTGTGGTCGAAACTGCTCACAGCTGCTAGATGGTCCCGAGGGATGAAAGGATCAGGAGCCCTGTAGAGTACAAAGCCTAATGTGCTAGGTTTTTGGGGTTTTTTTGTTTGGTTGTTTTGGTTTGTTTTTTTTAATTTTTTTTTTACTTTTTAAGATCTTTCTTTTTTTCTTAGCCTCTGCATACTTTTCAGAGTTCTTATTTGAGCATGATTTCTATCTCCTTCATGAAGCTGATGGACAACCAGTGCATTTTCTGGTGAAAAAACCATCTCTTTCGCATGTGTGTAATCCACCTGTCCCTCTGTTTTCCACGTCCCCGGTACTAGCAACCTGTCGTCAGCACAGGAGGCAGAGATGGCCATTGTCGATCACAGGTATTTCTGTCCTCTGTGCCCCTAATGAGGGAGGCAAGTGGGAATGTTAAAAACTTCTGCAAGCCTGCAGGCAGTTGCCCTGCTCCACAGTCTCAGAGGGATTAGGTGGAATTATTCCTGTTCCTCACCCTGACCCTGGACCCTCAACCAGCCTATACTTCAAATCAGTGAATGATACTCAGGACACGTTTTGGTGAAATCAAGATTGTGTCAATTCAGAAAGTGACTTAATCAGGCGTTACCTGCTCCTGCAGAAGTGGGTTCCTTCTCGGTAGGTCACCCAAAGCCCACCGGGTCCGGCAGGTTGAAAGGGGAGAAAGTGGCAGCGCAGCTGGGCTCCAGCATGGTACTGTTTTAAGGATCACCACCGAGGTCTCTGTTTTCCATAGCTGCCAATGATGACCAACACCCAAGGTTGCTCTCAAGGAAAGGAAGAAAGAAATTATCTTCCCAAACTGCTCTCCAGCCGGTCGTTTGACCCTGACACCCACCGATGACACTGAAGAACACCCCGTTGAAGCGGCTAAACGCCTCGCAATTTCCTGTCTTCTCTTCCCCCAGGCGGCCCCGGCGCACCGCCGCCGAGCGATCTTATCGCCGTGCGATCATTATTCACCGGTGACAACCAGAGATGCAGCGCTCCTAAGTGAGGGTGACAGATTTCAAACGCGGGGCTGCAGCGTATCCAGCCTCAGACATATTCTTCTTCAAACTTTGCCTAGCAAGAGTCAGCGGCTTAACCCTTTGCAGCTCTTTCTCTCGCCCGGGGACCGAGACCCCAGCGCAGGGGAATGTTGGCTGGGGGGAATGCAGGGCAACACGGCTACTTGGCTGGGGATTCTTTTTTACCTGCCATCTTATATTCTTGGTTATTTTCACTTGAAACAGATGAGAACCGCCACCTCTGGGGAGCAGATGGAGGGCTTTTCTGTGTGATTAGGGGCTGGAAAAATCCTCTTGGCAAAGCGGATCGCCGGCGACTCACCTGTGGTCCCTCTCTGTCACCGTGTCTGCAAACTCATCTGCACGGCACGAGTTCCTCTCATACGCACATATACAGAGCTTCTGCACTTTCCCCAGCGTGGTGTGGTTAAAAGTACAATTCCAAAAGTGCCATTTCACTCAAATCTCCAGAATCAGCTCTTTTACAGGTTATTAACTACAACAGAAAAAGGAGCAAGTGAGAAAGAAACATATTTTCAGGAAAGAAAGAAAGGAAAAAAAGACTTTTTTCACACATGCACTTTGTACTCAAAGGAAATGTTTACCACCACCAATCTCCAGCATGTCAGAGCATGTTTCCTCCTAAGCACAAGAAACCTTAAAACTGACAGAAAAGCATGTGCAATTCAAAGATGAAATGAAGTGCTTGAAAGCTTTCCAAAGTGTGTACCACCAGCCCAGAGCCGGATCAAGACAACAGGGAAACAAGATTAACAAACTATTGGTTGCCTAGTATTAATTTATAAATATTTTCAGTACATTATGATATTTCTGTCACTCTGCCCCACACCCCCTCCCCCCCACAAAAAAAAAAAAAGAAAAAAAAAAAGGAGGGGGAGACACACGACCTCTGACTGCAGCTGGTATTCCAGGAGAGCCCCTGTGGTCATGCTGTAGGAAGGATGGAGAGGCAGGTAGATGTGTATGAATGAGAATTGCAGTGCTTTCTTCATTAAATGTGTAAGATAAGGCTGGACAAGGGAGGAGATGAATCCTACGGTAAGCAAAAGGACAGGAAAAAATATTCTCCTCCCATCCACATTTCTAATTTCCGATTTAAGCTCAGCAGGCAAGTGAACCTCATCTGAAGAACAACCCCCAGCCACACTCATTGACTGCTGGGAATGTCTTTAGACATCACATCTATCCTTGTCCAGTTTGTAACAGCAGGTGACGCGAGTGGGGCCGTGAGCAGCCGCGGCCGGGGAGGCTCCGAGGGCAGGAGCAGGAGCGCTGCCGCAGGTGCGCAGCGGGAGCTCCGCGGGCGCGCAGCGGGGCCGCCTGCACGTCCCGCGGCGCGGCCAAGGTGGCAGCAGAGCACAGCGGTAGGATGGACGCTTCCCCCCCTTCGCTCCTTCCAGCTCGCTCTGTTTAAGCTGCTGCGCACCCCTTCCCCCTCTTCCCTCTCTCCACGTAATCTTGGTAATAGTCTGATCACTTGGACTTTAAACAATTTTTCTCCTCACCATCACCAGACTGTAAATGTGTCAAGGATGTATTTATTTATTTATTTGCTAGCAAACGGCTTTGCATGGTTGAAAAGCTGTAAACTAAAAGGAGAATATAGAAATATATTCTCTTTAAATTATCTGTGACCATACAAGAGGGCTAGCCTGGAGTGATGGTCCACTGATCCAAAAGACAACCTCACTTATTTTATAGAAAATGTAAGATGGGATTTTATAACATGAAGAAATGTTATAAAAATGAAAATGTCTTTTAAAATATGTTTTTCTTCCAGCTGTAATGTTAGATTGATTTCTGCAGCTTACAAGAAAGAGAGTAAAAGGAAATGGAAATAATTTTGTAACTGAGAGGTTGGTCTAAGTCATTGAATAATCTCAATTTGGTCTATAAGGTAAAATTTTACTTCAGGCCTTAAATTCATGCAGCTGACAGAAGGGAAAAATATCACTAAATATTTTCTTCATCAAATTTTGAAAAATCAGCTGATTAGTAGAGGTTTTGAGGAAGGAAAGGGAAAAGAAAGGGGATGGGGAAGGAAAGAGAAAGGAAAGGGATGGAAAAAGAAGGAAAGAGGCAGAAAGGAAGGGGAAGGGAACCAGGCAGACATAGTTATAGAATATTGATGTTAATTACTATAGTTTTCATGCTAACGACAGTTGCACAATGCAGATCAATCCAACCAACATTTAGTTGAATTTGATAAAATTAAGGTAATTAAAGTGGCTAAATCATGACATAAGAATCCAGCAGTCATTAAACATTGTTATGCATTGTTTCTTTGTAGTTTTATTTGTTTGGTTTCTTTTTCATGTATAGGCAATGCAAGGGAAAATAGAATAATGAGAAAACCAGAAATCAATACCTATATGAAAAAAAAAAATTATTTATGATTGACCCAACTACCTATCATGGTGAGTGGAAAGCATAAGTAAAACCTTCTGAATAACATAAAAATAGCCAACATAAGTTTTTTCTTTCACATTTTCTAAGTCTAATCATTAAGGTCCTTTTCATTATCATAGCCAGCTTTTAAAATAAAGGAATATCTTACATCTCTGGTTCTGTCACTGCACCTTTTTCCATGTTTCTGGAAAAAATAACCCACACACTTTATCAGACAAACTCTTGCTTCACTATGTAAAGCTGAAATACCTCAGTGAAAGTCACACAGCGTTCATTAAGTTGCCCCTATTGCATTCAGTGCTCTTTTATTCTAAGTGGAGAAGCCTAGAAGGCATACTATCAATCTACTGTAGAAAAAATATCTTTTTCTGATCACAAGACTATCCTCCCAGTCTCCCATGAAAGTTCAGGAGCTCACTCATTCTAATTTCCTACTGATTAAAAAAATCACATTTATTTGTATTTTCTTATTCACAAGTTTGGCAAGCTCAAATAATTTCACTTTTGTTTCTGTCAAGTCAATATCTGTAAATTTTGTATTTTGTAGAGGATGGTTATAATTATGGCAGAGTGCCTCTAAATGATCAAAGAAGAGTGTTCCAAGGTGACTTTATGATGTTTGCATCGCCATTTGTCTGTTCTGTTTAGGCTGGATATTAAGTTCTGCATCTTTAAGACTGGTTTCAAGAGTGAAGAGGGGAGAAGAAGCATGGAGTTTGTTTTCAGAAAATGATCTTCCAGAATACTTTGCTTGTTAAATAAACTGGTTTTTTCCACTTTTCACCAAGGAAATCTTTTCCTGAACCAGTAGGGGGAAGGGTCTCTTGAATCTGTCTTCTAGAGGGACCTCTTTGGCAGTTTCCTCCCAGATTTGCCCTAAACCAGGACAAGGAGCCAGTTTTCTTTCAGCCCAATAAACATGGATGAACATTAGAATTATAAGAATATATAAAAGTTTGACAGGAGAACATTATTTTTAAAAGATTAGCCTGATCAAAATGTCTCAATATTATTTAAAGAGAGAACATAAAAAAATGCTACAGTTTATAATATAGATCCCAAAGCTCATGGCATAGCTTTGGCTTTATATTTTCTTGATTTCCATTTGTCACTTTACACATGGTTAACAAACTTTGATCTACAGTATTTCAAAACATTTCAAGCTCTATCTGACAACTGTTAACTCCGTTTCAATTCCAGTATCAGCTAATTATGTGTAATAGGATACAATGGGGAATGCAAATTTTCTATTGAAATGTATTGATTTTTGCCTTTTCTGGATTAGTCCCTAGATTCTGATAAACTAGTAGTATCATTTGGTAAAGCCTTTTCTAGTCTTTTCTGTTTATTTATTTTAGAGCACATTGTTGTAAAAAGGATAGGTGAAAAGGAAAATTGGTTTCAATTACCCAAAGAAAAAGCTATAAAAATGTTACCATTATGAGGGTCAAGAAGTAGAGGCTACATGATTTCACCTCCAAACTCAGAAATAAATGAGCAATAATCTTGGCATGCTGGTGCACAAGAGGTCCCCTTTCCAGGGACTATTACTAGAGGGCAGAAAAACATGTCACCATGGTACAGACCAATTACCTGAAAGGAAAGAAAAAAATAAAACAAAAAAACCCAACTAGGCAGATGGTATTTGTTTTGAATCCTGATAAATTGACAGTAAGCTTTCAGGTCTTCGAGAGGATCTTGAGGCAGTGAAAATATCTTGTGAAACCATTTGTCTTGCTCTTTAGCAGTGCAAAGCACCCACATCACAGATTTGTGGACTGAGGGGGATAGGAAGGTTGTCATAGCAGTCAACAACTTCAACTCTTTTAAAACACAGGGCACCAGATTAATTTTGTTCAGACCAAAAATATTTTGTTAGAATTTAGTAAAAGACATTCTTTTACTTCAGTAATCTCTTTAAGAATGGGAAGGCACTGCCTTTTAGACTTAAGGGAAATGTTAGGAGGAGCAGGGATCTCTGATTAGATCTACTGAACCAATGAAAGGTACCCATCCAGTTAACCATGGCCTTCTGAGAGAAAGAGGAGGGATGTGCACTTATGAACAACATATATTCCATTGAAGTAGAAATGCAGTGCTAAAAGTTATGAGGCTGCTTACTAATGGATGTTAGGAAGAATAAGGTGCCTAGTGCCAGTAGATTTTTTAAATTTCATTCTCTCCCATAGTATAGCAGAACTGGGAAAGTCTAAATTTGCTTCACTGATGGGATGCTGAAGGATCCTTCTGGTGAGAAATTCCAACTGCAGAATTGCACCAGGATTGCAAATTTAGAGTGAACTTAATTCAGCTAGGAGTCATGGTTATGCAATTCCATTCTTCTTGTGGAATTGTGTTTTCCATTTAGCAGTCTTTGCAATTCTCAAGACCTTGAACAATCTCTGTGGAAAGACCAATTTTGCCTTTTATATATACTATATACATTCAACCTTTGAGAGAGTACTGACCATTTGATATAAAACCCCAGCTATATGTAAAGATAACAGCACATAGAAAATTCTTTTTCTGGATCATATGTATACATATATTAAAAATATATATTGAATTGTCTTGCAGAATTTATAACTAAGTAATTGAGGTCTGCTTTTTCTTTTAACTCAAACAGATCCTTCCTGGCATGATGAGTTTTCTATTCAGTTAATTCTGCTTACTTGGTGGCGACAACTTGCACTTGGAATCTACCATGAGATTATTTAGTTAAACATACCACAATTAAAGTGTCCTAGGTGGAGTAGTTATGAAGAAGAGCCAGGAATATACCCCCAGGATAAACTGAACTTTTTACTTGCATCATAAAATGATCCTCCTTTCTGTGCCTCAGGCAAAAAGAATGCTAAGAAGTTAAGATATTCTTTTTGGTAGGGTTGGAGAAGTCAGTGAAATCCTCCCTGGAGAAAGTGAAGTGGCTCGAGTGTGTAATCATTTATTGGTGAACTTTAGTAAGTCCAAACAATGAGTTAGGGAGAGGAGAGTTTTCAGGTTTTGGCTCTTCCTTTTTAATTTTGAAGCATAGGCATATTCATGAGCATTTGGCCATCAGAGAGCCAGGTTTCTACAAGTTCACAGAAGCTGGGGTTTCACTATAGGAACATCTTTGGTGTTTGTTTCTTGCATTTGTCAAACACATATAGTCTTAGCAACTATTGAACAAAATAGGCTAACTATATACTTGCCATTGTCCTTTGATTTCTGTGATCTCAAAGGTTGTTGGCTATTGAACACTGTTATGGCCAGTCTTAACATTCTCATAATTTTCAGCTTATTGCTGGACTTGGTGCAGGGAGCAGCAAGAAAAAGGGAGGATGAGCTGAAAGTCAAGGGTGATCCCAGAAAAGGGCAGTGCCCTCAGCCAGTCCTGCAGAAGGGAGACAGGATAGACAAAAAAGGGGGCTTGGTGCAGGGTTCATTAATATTCCCAGGTATGCCAGGATGGCGATTCAGGTTCAATGTTCACAGAGGGCTGGAGACAAGACGGGAAAGAAGGCTATCATGCCTGTTCAGTGTCCATTCAGAGGAGAGGGCTGGAGACCTGCACATGTGCAGAAGTGACTGCATCTGGGCACCCCCAAGGTGACACAAAGCCCCTGCACCAGAGCAGAGTTGGACAGAAGGAGTGAGGAGGGGGGCTCCCAGGGTAGGATGGATCTAGTCAGGGCCCATGGGTTCCTCCAGGACTCTGGATTTGTGACACTAGCC